TCAGACTCCTAACAACCCTCCCTAGCACACATCCCACTGAAAGGTTCTTGTTTACTAGTTGGTTTCTGTCACTAGAATGAGTGCTCTCCTGCATGGAGATTGCATTTTATTCATCTTTTACTCTCAGGGCTTTGCACCCAAACCAAGCCTACAGCCTTTCGAGTCGATTCTGACTCACAGTGACCTTGGATAGGGTTTCCAATACTGTATGTTTTTTTTTTTTTTTTTCAGGAACAGTCTCATTTTCTTCCTGCGGAGTGACTGGTGGGTTTGAACTGCTGATCTTACAGTTCAAACCTAACAGCCCAATGCCTAACCCTCAGCACCACCAGGGCTTCTTAGTGTTTGGTAACAAAACCAAACCTGTTGCCATAGAGTCGATTCCAACTTTTAGTGGCACCATATTGGGTTTCTGAGTTCTGGAGGGTTTAAATCAACAAGGCTATGGTGAGCATGGAGCCTTAGAGCTTGACAGTGTCTGGCAAATACAAGGCATTCAAATGTATGTTGACTAAATGAATAAAAGACACATCTATAAAGAAATATAAAGCTTAAAAAAAAAAAAAAAAACAATTCAGCTCCTTGAACCTCTCTGAAATTAATAATTCTTCAGGTTCTAAGAAATATTACGTATATATGTTGTTATTGATGTTATGTGTCGTTGAGTTATTTCTGACTCACAGCGACACTGTATAGGGTTTCCAAGGAGTGAATAATGGGTTTCAACATCCACCTTATGGTTCAAGTCAACATTTCAGTCCAGTGCTTATCCTACGGCACTACGTCAGGACTCCTTATGTATCTTTGTTCTTGTTAAGTGCCGTAGAGTTGGTTCTGACCCATAGCGACCCTATACAGGGTTTCTGAGGAGCCGCTGGTAGGTTTGAGTGGCCGACCTTGCAGCTCAAACTGACCTTGCAGTCCAGCACATTATCCCACAGCACCACACCAGGTCTCCATATGCATAGATATGCCTACATTTTTCTACAAGCTGGTCATTAACTTTGTATCACAGTTTTGTTATTATTTATAAAGATAGGAGCCCTGGTGGCAAATGGCTAAGTACTCACTATTAACCAAAAGGTTCAGGGTTCAAAGCTCCCAGGTATTCCAGAGGACAGAAGACCTGTTAATGGGCATCCGTAAAGATTACAGCTTAGAAAACCCTATGAGGGTGTTGGTTTAATTTGTGACTTTTTTCTAGAAATTGTTTATAATATGTTGCATTTGTACTTCAGTCATTCCATCTTTCACTCAGGATGAATGTGAAAAGTGACTGTTGATAGACACAGTGATGTGGGTACGGTGGCTCAGGTGGGACAAGTGGCTGATCCGCAGGAGGGATGGATGATCACTTCTTGCTTCTCATGATGCATGTTTCTGTAGGTTACTGACTTGTTGGGTAGCTATTAAGGTACTAGAATTGAGAAATGTGTACAGGGTCCTTTTGCAATAACACTGGTTATGATTTGAAAAACAAAAACAAAAACCCTTGGCACAGGGTGGCTATAGTCATAATTGACTCAACAGCCTACAACAGTTTAGGGTGGTGGCTGTGTGCCGTGGAGTCGGTTCTGACTTATAGTGACCCTGCATAGGGTTTCTGAGGCTGTAAATCTTTATGGGAGCAGAAAGCTTCATCTTTCTCCAGCAGAACCACTGGTAGTTTTGAACTGCTGACCTTGAGGCTAGCAGCCCGACTCATAACCACTACGCTACCAGAGCGCCTTTCACAACAGTTTATAAAGGTTTTGATATGGAAGATTAAGTGCTGTTCAAAATCAATTTAACCAAAGTTCTCTAAATATTCTGCTAAAGAAAGAATGGGGGAAATAATTGAAAGCTAAAATAAGCACATATTTAAGCCACTTATTTTAGGAAGAACTATATCAATTATTGGTATGCAGAATCTTGAGATTAGTCTTAAAAATTTTTAAATAATTGAGATAATTTTTTTAAAGTTCTGCAACAATAAGCTTAAGCAATTTATCTACCAAGATTGAATACCAGATAATGAACAAGAACTGTTGTCATGAAAAAAAATTTTTTAAAGACAAATATTTCTAATAAATACATATATGTAAGTGAAGAATAGGAGCTCTGGTAGCGTAGTGGTTACTAGTCAGGCTGCTAACCTCAAGGTCAGCAGTTTGAAACTACCAGCCATTCCACGGAAGAAAGATGAGGCTTTCTGCTCCTATAAAGATTTACAGCCTCAGAAACCCTATGCAGGGTTGCTATGAGTCGGAACCAACTTCATGGCACATAACCACCACTACCATAAGTGAAGAGTGAGAGACACATTAAAGTTTGGACAAAATAGTAAAGTATTTTAATTATGAATAATGAAACCTTGGGACGACCTAATAATATATATAAATTCAGAAAAGAACAGTTAAGTGAAAAGTTTTAAAAAAATACATTAAAGTGATAATGTATATGCAGATTTTATACATTGCAATAATTTCTACAAGTAGATTAAAAATACCTTTATTTCTTAATCTATTTTTTGATTGAGTTGACAAAATATACCCATGATGCTAAAACATAAAATACCTATTTTCAGGCCCCAAATCATTATGTAGCCTTTACAAAAATACTATAGTACTTCAAAATGTATAGATAATAAAATGTATAGATAATAAAGTGTAGCAGTTATTATCTTTGGTATGCATGAAACAAACATGCTCTTATCTTCATTCTACATTATAAACACAGATCAGAGTCTGTGTCCCAGATAGAACTAAGAGTTTTCACTAAATTAAAAAAATTAGCCATTAACAAGCTGTTGATTATAGAGAACTAGAAACTTGATACTATGCTGCTAGTGACTGGTAGCTAATCACTTAAGACAAGAATCTGTAGACCTCTTAGTGCGTTAGAAATCAGGGTCTTGGACCAAAGCGGTGATTTAATTTCACGGCTGCTCAGTACAGCTAGCTGACATTACTAAATGCAACTCTAGTATCAACTTGTTAAATGTGAATCCAGACTCAGCATATCAGAATACTAACCCAGACTAACTGGAGTCATGGGAAATATTTTGGGAGCTGTTTATTTATAAGTGAGTTACAATGTACCACTATAATTAGATTAATATATTATTGATAAACACATGGTTATTTCTAAAACCCCACTATTGTTGCCACTGCTATGCTTAGAAAAAGATAATGGTTGTATTTTTCTCTGAAAACAAAGCAGCCATGACTTATCACTAATCAATGAGATCAATTTAGATCTAGTATAATTGAGCTTAACTATCATTATATTGTTTATAATACTTTAAAAAAACTGTTTAATCATTAGGAGAAACAAAGCTCCCCAGCAAACTTGTACACTTCTGTACTATTTTATAATCCAATACTCTGCCAAAAAATACCAGAATTTTCACAAAGCTAGGCCATCTGATTATCACACAATCATTCAAATTAGGTTACCTAAATTTAAAGAAAAATTTTTAAATGTACATTTTTAGTTAAGCAAAAGACATTTAATTTATACTTCACTAAGAAGATACATAAACAATACTGCTCTAAAAACAACAAACTATAATACTGCCAAAAGAAATGATTTTAAAGATACTTCCATAAATACTTCCAAGCTAACTTTTAGAGTAATAATTTCATCTAGTATACATTTGCTAGTAGCATGTAATTCAGTTAATAAACTACTAATATGCTTCTTTACAATATCACTTAATTACTTTGTTTTGGGAGAGACAATAGTTAAATGACTGATAATCTCCTAAAAGATAGTTTTTTAAAAAGGTTTTCCAGATGGAGTTAGTAATTCTAAAGCATAGATCTTAATTCAAAGTCTGATCTTTTTTGAAAATCTTCTCAAGAAAATTCCTTGTATTGGCATCTGGGCATCGGATAACAATAATCATATTTATTAACCAGTTTCAAACACAGAAAACCAACTAACAATCACCTAGGATTTTTATTTACTCAAAAGCTATTTGACCAGAGGTTTTTTGTTTTTGTTTTTTTAACCTTTAATATAGATATTGGGTGTTATGTAAACACAGTAATAAACAGATAAGCTTTCTTTTTGCTACTGTCATCTAGAATTTGCTTAGTCAGATAATTTTTTTTAATTTCCTGGAATCTGGCAAGACCTTCCAAATACAGAACTTCAAAGAATCTTTTTAAGTTCAAAACACTTTAAATATTTTAGAAAGGCCAAACTGTTGGGGTTAAGATTCATTTGCATTAAAATTCCAATATAATAATGCACAAATATCAAAACATCATGAATAAGGTAACTAGAAAATTCTAAGAAGTGTCTAGCAACTTGAAGTAATTCATAAATATAAAATTTAGAATTCAATACATTGAAATATTGAGTGACATTTTAGAAAGCAGTCTAAAGGAAAACAGGGTGGAAACAAAATTCCTGTGGTCAAGAGTCTATACACAAATGTAAATGCCATTTATTTTTCCTTTGCTGTAAGCATGAAGCGTGATTTTATCAGTGATCTAATAGAATACAAGTATTTTAAAGAAACATTTACTCTATGCTCATTCATAGTAAGATCTTAGTATATTTATATGGGTTTTTAATTATTTAATATTTCAAGTAAGTATTTTACTTAAACTAAGCTATCATTTTCTAAAGTAAGGATAGAAAATGCAGTTAGATATTACAATCCCAGGCCATGTAAGGGAAAATTTATCAAGATAAAACATTATAAAAGAAAACATCATTTCAAGCTTGCTTTAATGCTACACAAATGTTTTTTTTTTATGCCTTGAATCACTTAGCTAAGTTTTTTTTCTTTAATGCACCATTAATTTTTACTTTGGCAAAGTAACAAATAGAGTGGAGAACTATTAGGGGTTCTTCAGATTTACCAATACAGAGTTCATTGCTACAAAAAAAAAAATTTGTAGTTAAGAACCAGGAAAGTTTATAAAACTGCCAAGTTGTAATAGATTTTAGTCAAATTATTTCATTAAGCTATTCTAGTATAAATTACTGAGACCAAAGAAACTTACCTTTTGAGAATGCTTCAAAGAATTGGATAGTTCATTTGTAAAATCTCTGATGTTGTCGCTTGATAAATTACTAAGTTTACCTTCATTTCCAGGTGCAAACTTTATGAGTAATTGAGATGGTCCCCCCTTAGAACAACTGTGCTGAAGGCTGGATAAACAAGAAACATTTGGGTAGGTTCCTCCTAGTGAAATACTTCTTTGCAAAATAGCATGGTTTTTGTTTATCTGTGAATTTGGTCTTTCCAACTGTCTGTTGATATTGATTTGATAATCTTTATTTTTGTTGGATTGTAAACACGCAGATGACCTATGCATGAGCTTAATATACTCTGAATCAGAATGAAGCTTCATTTCTGACACCTCAGGTTTATAATCACCATCTAATGTAGTTGTTTTCGGTTGGGTGAAATGCAGTGAAATACAGGAATATCCTTCAGGTGACTTTTCACAGGCAGTTTGATTTGGACTGTTATTTGAAATAACAATTTTCTTTTGTAATGAGCCCTTCTTGTGAAGTGGCTTTACGTCTCTTACTTCTCCAGGAGTACAAATAGTTTTAGATAACCGAAGTCCATTGACAGCTGTTGAAAGAAATCCCTTAGGGCTAGTACCATCTTCACTGTGCACAATCTCACTAGGAGAAATAATAAATTGGTGTGACGTTTGATAGGATCCTTTGCTTGACAGAGTACCTGTGCTGGGAGAAGTTGGCGGGGTGTTTGAAGGACTCCTAGGAAAAATGACCAAGGATGAGCACCGTTTCAGTGGAATTTTTGAGTTCCTGTTCCCTGGCAACTTCATAATCTCTATTCCGTGCTCCAAGTCATCCTGGACAAAGGGAACTGCAGTTGTACTTCTGGAAAAGATTTCACATGGAGTAGTATTCCTGTTTGGCATACTCCTATTGGAGGTGGTCTCAGAAGATAAGTTTCCACCAAAAAAAGGATCTTCACTTGGTGGAAAAGTACAACCACTGCTGTCACTGTTGACACTGTTAGTATATGAACCTCCACTTGTGATACTTGTATATGACCCATAATCACTACCATTGCTACTGTAAGATCCATGATCACTGGCTGAAAAGTTACTAAGGCTACCACTACAAACAGCAGAACTGCTTAAAAAGTTACCATCATTCACAGCGTTCAGTTCATTATCAACCACAGTATTGCCGCAAATGCCTTCCTTTAAGACACAAGTCAAGGAAACATCATCCCCATCAGTTAAGACATTGCTAGACTGAAGACATCCACTGTACCTTGTTGGCTGGAGTGAAATCTGTAGACAGCTGCTCTTTTTACTAACATTTTCAGATGAAGGAACAGATGATCTTTCCTGGGACTTAACGTTTTCCTTTATTAAAGGAGCTAGTGCAGTCTGTCTAGGAGTCAGCTTCATTTGAACCACGTTGGATGTGGAAATCCGTGTTGGTCTCTTGAAACACATGTGAACACTGCTATCCAAATCATCTCCGGAGGTTTCTGACAACGGGTAAGTATTGCTTCGTCTGGCTGCAAAGTGCAATCGTAAGCTTTGTGCCATTTGTTCTCATTTCCAAACATGTTAAGGGCTGAAAGTCCTAACAAAGATCTCTACCCACAGACAGGCTAGAAGCAGCTGCATTGCATCGAAAGAAAAAATCATTTGTGGTATCTAGAAGAGCTCTTAAGTAGCAGCCTTTACACCCTTAGTAAAACATTAGATACCAGATATCACAGAAAGAAAAAAACGATCCATTCCTGGGAGTGACGTTTCCAAAATGTCTTGAATCTCTCGTAGTCAAAATGCCTTCACTTACAAAGCACTTGATTTCCAGCGACCTTTAAGCGGAGCTCAGCCACAGCATACTGACTCAAACACTGCCAACCTTGTTTCAATTATACCTTCTCCAATTTGCATGAATGAGTAACAGAAGAACAACAGTCTTCTAGCATTTCTACTTGAAACAGTATTTTTTTCACTCCAGCTCTACTAAAAGAGCATTTAACTATTTGAATCACTATGCCTATACTTTTTCCAGCAGAGTTTGACCACTAATAATTTTACCCATAGGTATAGAATTACAGGAAGTTGGTAGGAATGAAACCCCATGTAATTGAGTATCAAATCAAGGATTGAATTTCCAAATAGTTGACATACAAGGTATCTAGTCAAGTTAGTTCATGCAGAAAGGAAAATATACGGTTAATTTTTTTAAAAAAACGAGTAAATTCAAACAGCTTAAAATTTGGAAGAACGAAATGTTGAGGTGAATTAAAGTTTTAGCATTAAAAAAAAACAAACAAACATTTTAGCCTCCAAAATATTAGTTATAGAAACTGGAACTTTAAGACTAGAAACTCCAAAATTAACATAGTAATACCATTGAAAAAAACGAGCTTCGGACTGATGGGGGCGGGGGCTGGGGGTGAGGGAGGGAGTTTAAAGAGAGGTTGTCACCAAGCATTTCTTCTGTAATTTTAAGGCCTTTTCCAGCCAAGTAGTACAGTTTTTAAATTATGCCATTTATATTTTGACTATTAAAAACTCTGCCAAAAAATAGGCTAAGCTAACATTCCATTAAAAATACATGCAGATTAGGCAGAAAAACTATACCCCAATATAGTTTTAGCACACAGAATATTTTATTCCACTGTCTCTGCAATTCATTCAGTTACGAGTGTTATGGTAAATAAAGAAGTCTAAAAAGGATTTAACACATCAAATAAACACATCTCAATGCCAACGCTGTTCTGAAAAACTTCAAGAGCTCTTTGCTGACCCCTGCTGGTGCTTTGAAACAATCATTTTAGCTGTTTGATCGCTATAAAGAAATATAACCCACGCTGCATATTTCTTTATATAAACAAAGTCCATCTTTATTTACATTTTTTTAGTACTAAGTTTGGCCCAAAGGTGGAATTACTACTACCGATAAAACTCCCAAACAGAAAACAGTAGACTATTTGTCCTTGTAGAGGTTGTAATATTTGTATTTATACTTTTTTTCTACTTTGTATTTATTTAACCTTTCATTTATTTTAAGTTTACTGGGTAATAAAAGTTTAATATTTTAATTTGTCCTCCAAATGTCATAAACCAAGGCTGGTATTCTGTTTGAAAGAAAAAAAAATTATTTTTAAGTAATACTCTAGGGTGTATTTAAACCCCTTACCTGAATTTTATAGTTGGAGCTCCAATAATAAATATATACTGGCTCATTCATAGGAAAGTAAGAAGTAAAATAGTTCAGTTGTTTATACCACATGGTACTACACCCAACTTGTATTTTCCTAAGTAAGTTTTTTTCCTAAGCAAAAGCAAATATATAAAACATATACTCGCTAAAGCATAAAAAAAAACAAACAAACATATACTTGTATTTTAATTTTTTTAACTGTGTTTTAAGATAAATCTGCTTCCACAATTTTCTAAACAGTGTTTTTAATTAGATAAGACATGACAAACTAGAAAAATGAAATTCTAAGTGACATTTTTAAAAAGAATGAGATTGTACTATATTATAGAAAGTTCACACTAGTTGTAAACTTAATAAAGTTAGTGTTTTTTTGATTCCATATAACCTTTATGATATTGAAGACTTCTGCAAATACTCCTTTATCAGTCTTTTTCTTCAACGAAGAAAGAAAGGTCTTAATCTTTTCACTTTGTCTTCAAGTGACTTTAGCTTTTCTTTTTGGATTAAATCAGAAGTCTGGTAACTCAAAGAATGGATCATTTTAAATAGGCTATGCAAAGAAATCTAATTGCTCATGTCTCTAGCCTAAAACTTCCTGTTAAAGCAAAGCTCCACTTTGATTGTTAACATAAAATTGTGAGCCCAGGTATTTGGCCAGATAAATGTTTTCTTTTTGGCAGGCTTTGCTATGAACATAAGTTTCATGTCCCCTAAGTAGAGATTTAACTTTCTATAGTGTGAGGACCAGAATTAAACATTTCTTCTGGTCCTCCAGAGCTCATGCTGGGCACAGAGTAAGCACTAAGTAACATCTGATTAGGAAGGTGGATGGATGGACTGTCATAGTCACTCAGACAGCCTGAAGCTGCCTTCCAGGTTTAGGTGGTGGTGGTGAACTGACACTGATTCAGCTGCTACTTGTAAAGAAATATTAAAAATCATTACAATTGGATAAGAAGGAATGATGCTTGAATATGTTGCAGAAAGAGCTCTAACCAAGGAAAGATAAGGTATTAAAGACTAAGTTTATGTTATAGAAAGACTGAATAGCTTGCATTATTGGCGAAGATCTGCGATCACCAGGGATTGGTAATATTAATCACAATAGTTGTTGCATGTGGACCCTGAGGAACTTGCATTTAAACGTAGTCACTTAGCCAAGGAGTTGCCAAAGGAACAGACTCAACCCTAACTCAAGTGTGGAAGAGCTAGAGATCAGCAGTCACTTAGAGGAGGAATCCATGTGTCGTTACTGTGCCATCAAGTCAGTTCCGACTCATAACAGCTCTTTGACAGAGTCTGAAAACAACTGGTGGGCTTCAACTGCTGACTTTGTGGTTCCCAGAGTCCAGTGTTTCTACTATAGTACCACAACCTCCTGAATTTTATACTTTGAATGAAAAGGATATTTTCAGATTAGATGGAAACTCATAGTCCCACGAGCTGTTTTGCTTAGTGATTAGCTACCTAGAAAGCATTGTGATTGCAAACATGGTATGAGTGTGCTCAGAGTAACATAACCATTGACTAGAACTTTCAAGGTGAAAGACCATTAACTAAGAAACACAAACTAGAGTCTCCACTCAGCACACAGGAGTTGCCTCCATCTTCAGCAGCTGGATGTGTACAGCTATACCTCTTAGGTCAGTGACAGCGAAGCACTAACTTTTGCACTGGTGGGTAGAATTTTCTGAAAGGCTTATCATTGTGAAATGTTCCATCATTATCACTGTCACCAAACCACTATTACAGTTTATAACCCTTTGGTCTTAAAATTGGCTAAAAAGAAGGAATATAAGCTACCTCCTTCTCTAAGCAGGTATCAGTTATACTGTACACGTTCTTCACATGACAATAAATTGTTCCTGCTTAAATTTCAAACTACGCTGTCTCCTTACATCTTCAAAGGAAATTTGCTAGGAAAAGGCTACGTTCTTAATTTAGTCGTGAATACTACAAGAGAACAACAGCAGAATGACATTTACAATGCACTGCTACAAATTAGGTATTGCCCCACCAATAGTTATGGCTTCTGTAGTATCTCAGGTGATCTATACATTTTAATTACCTGCTAGAGCAGCCACAAATCTGAGAAACAGAATGACACATCCTACCCTGTTCAAGTTATTTCTTGTTCCCTTTTGCTGGTAAAATTAGCTTTTTGAAAAGAGTAAGTGTACTTCTAATGCATAGCAATTTAACACAGTAGCTACACTAAATGTCATACCTTAGTTAGCACACAAAAATATGGTACCAGGGAGCCATAAATGCATAAATGTTAAATAACACTTTATATTTGTATCATGAGTAATTTTTCTGAGTGCTTTCACACTGCTATCTCAATGTAGCCTTGTAATAAATTTATAATAGGGAAAATATTGTTGTCCCTGTTTTTTAAACATATGAAAATCCTTTCAGAGAGATTAATGACTTGTCCAGGGTTACAAGCTAACATGCCAGAGCAGAATCGTAACTACAATAGGGTTTCTGGTTCTAGGGTGTGGAGACCCACAATATCACAATTAATTGCTTTTAGTTAATTTGTTATCAATCTAGAAACACCCCATTGTTAATCCTTTCATGGCCCATGGAGCATACTATCACTCACCAACATTCTCAGCCTCTGAGGTTCTTGGAAAGCTGGCATCTCATTGATAGTACAAGTTACTACCTGGTGGGAACCTATAAAACTGTGTGCATGAGACCACGCCCACCAATTCCAAAACCACAGTTCCTTTGGGACATATGTATCCCATATTATTGTATCAAAAGCCATATTTCAAGAAAAAAAATAATTCAGCTATGAAAGGGTTATTACCAGAAGGAACTTCTTTTACTTCCAACTCATCAAAACCCAAATAACAAAATTCACTGCCACCAAGTCAATTCCGACTCATCGTGTTCTTGAGGGAACGAAAGCATACACTGTGTGTTCTAACATTAAAACCAGATGCTTTAAAAAACATCCAGGTTCCTTGTGAACTAAAAATGAATAAAACTGTTTTTTAGTAATATTTGTATGAAACTGATAAACTTTGACTAATAATTGTTTTTATGCCTATGTGTTCAAATCTGCCATGTTTGACATGAAAGCTGCTGAGAACAGAGTTTGAAATAAGATCCCAAAGAGAAAAATATGAAGGATAGGACTTCAAGACAATCCTTAGGAATAACATTTTATTTAAAAAATAAAGCTTTATTTCCTACTCCCCCGCCCCCCAAGGGCTTAAAATCCTTTAGAGAACTTTATGTGCTCATTCCTTTAGCGGTGGAAAGAGCATAGTTCTCCTTGATAGAAGAGAGCACAATATTAGGTGTGATGTTATAACTGGATACAGATAACCCAACAGAAGCCACTGCAGTG